AGCACCAACATTTTCTGATCTCCAGCAGAGCAGTGCAGGCAGAGCAGCTGCCTCTGGCCATGCCCTGAGCTCTCCAGCCATCCCTCCCCACCTGCCTTGTCCTTTGGGTCACAGCCCACGGGGAAGCTGCTCCCAAAGCCCCACAGAGCTGGTGAAGGTGCTGAGAAGCCGATGCAGATGCCCAGCTCTGCAGGCTGGAGCCCTTTGCTGGGAGCTGGCAGCAGAATGTGCTGCATTTTCCCACCCAGGAGAAGCTCTGGGTTAGAGAGGATTTCATGCACATGGACCATGTGGAACTTTGATGTGTCTGTTGTGTTTTACTGTAAAAGAAGCAGGGAGCAGCAGCACTTTGTCCCTGCACCATGTGTGTGGGGGCCTGAATATATGTATTGTAATAACAGCAATAAGAATACAACAACTGAAACGTAGTGAGAGTCCTATGTGTTTGATAAGTGCATCCTTGCTATTCTAAATGAGTCACAGCTGCGAAGTCCTTAGTTGACCAGCAGCTGTGGCTCGTAAAGATAGCTGGGATAAAAAAGGTGGGTTGAGAGCCTAGGAGGAGCCTCTGTGAAACCATGAGGAACTTCACTACAGAGAACAGAAACCAGCGAGAAGGTATGGACTCTTTAGGAATATAATAGCAGCAAGATAACAATAATACAACAACAAATGATGACCCCGACGTGATGGAGAACACACAGCCACAAGGAACGTAGAGAGAAGGTATGGATCCCCCCGATATGAAGAGAGGACAGCTGGGAGCTGTATCAGCCAGAGAGCTGGGACTTTAAAATATAATATGGCCTTTGAATCAAGGAGCTGTAACAGCAGAAAGCTGTGAGAATATGGCTTTTGAGGAAAAGAGTCTTGGAACATCTAGGGATTTGTATGTGTTCAAGACAGCCGAGAGCTGTGGTAGCCTGAGAGCTCGGACTGTATGTGTATTGTAATTGTATAATTGTTAAAAGGGGGGAAATGTGGGGCCTGAATATGTGTATTGTTATAACAGCAATAAGAATACAACAACTGAAATGTAGTGAGAGTCCTATGTGTTAGATAAGTGGGTCCTAGCTATTCTAAATGAGTCACAGCTGCAAAGTCCTTAGTTGGGCAGCAGCTGTGGCT